ATATCGGCTGATGGGAGGTTTGCATTATATGTTCTATTTTGTTGCAAAGAAAATTTGATTAACCTGACTCTTGCTCATAGTAACCTGATCCATTCATTAACTTCAAAAAGTTTATCTCCACAAAGCACCTCCTTCAGATACTGGAGCTGTTTCTCCTATGATTGTCAGAGTTTACACAAGATAATGGTATCATTATAAAGATGGCTACTTTCACTTCTTGTACTCTGAACTTGTTTTCATATTACTGATTGCCATTACTGATGTCTGTTCTATGTGCTTTCAGTAAGTTTTATGCCGTCAAGTGATGCAATTTTTTAACAATTGACACGGAAAAATTACATCAAAAGCAATATATTATTTTACAGACTTTGAGATTCTAGTGATAGCCTTGATTGTGGCACATCCGTTCCTTTGAGTGGCTAGCAGCACATATTAACTTTCAGCAGACGGCTTCTAACCTTTGATGTTGTGTTTTAGTTTAAAATTTGCCTGTTAAGTTAAGGACACCGAGTTCAATGAAAGACTAATTCAATCTTTATGAAGATATGGTTTGTAGCACTTGCAAATGGTTAAATGTTTTTGTTATTCCAGTACACTGTGTTCAAACTTCCTAAAAGAAACCAAGTTGCTAAATAAAGTAGCAACTGATGTCATACTTGTTTCTTTATTTTATAACATTGGGAGTTTTTATGTCTTTGGCAAAAAACTTATATCATTTAAAACCCTTTTCCTGATATTGACCTCTTTTGCAGACTTGGAGGATCATCCAACATTTAAGGAATATAGCACCTTACAAAATGCGAGATATTTCTATGTGTAGCTTTTTTGAACACCAGTCAAGTTTTTGAAATAAAAATTGAATTTTGAAGCCAAAAATTTTTTATGAGGATATTTTTGCTAATGCCTAATCATTCTGTTAAGAACAGATATCACCTGTCCAACAATAACGGGAAGATCATATTGCAATTACTAAAGGGTAAAAGTTAACATCATGATTAATAATTTTGTTCCGCATAACCTATGCATAAGCTCCTCTTTTTCTACACTTAAAGGAACTAGAAGAAAAAATGAAAAATTTTAATGATGTTAAAGTGATTAACACGTTTCTTGCAACACATATTTCATGAAAGGAGTGTATGATGATACATTGGAGTGGCCATTTCAAAGAAAAGTTACTATAACACTACTGAATGAACTGGAGGATGAGAATGATATCATTTAATGCTAATGACTGTACCTGAGTAGAACAGCCTTTAAAGCTCTTTAGTGTTGTTTGCTTAACTGATGAGTCTGTGTAGTGACTGAGGTCCTTAGAAATGAGATGTTCTCAACCTGCTTAAATCATTCAGTATGCAATTGTAGTATTCAGTATGTACTTTGTAGCCTTTTGCTGAATTGGTTTTAATAGTTTCAAAGGTAAGAAACATTGTAAATAATTATTTTGACAAATTAAATAAAATCAGTTATTTTAAATATAACACGTCTAGTATCACAATGTGTCGCAGCTGTCACAATGTATATTCATTCCTCAGCTATGTATGTTTCAGCAATAAATCTGTTGACTACTATGTTATTAATCAAGACTACTGCATGTATGCATAGACCTCCTGTTATAGTGTACCACAACCTGTTATACCCAGAGGCGTGTCCAGAAATGGGGAAAGGGAGGTGCTGAAGGCGTGTGAAGCGCACAGCAATTTTGGCCACAGCCATTTTGTGGTGGTAAAACGGCGTTTTCATGCATTTTTGTGAATTACGGGTGGGGTCTAAATTATTTCAAGCATCTAGTAATTCTGACAACTTCTCATGGTTCCTGAAAGCACTGGAAAGTGCTGAAATAATGATCAGGGGGCTAGATAATTTTGTTAAGAGGCTTGGTAGCGATGCAAAAGTCCAGGATTTGATCATTTTTTTTCTGAGCCTAGCCATGACGGGGGTGCTCAAGCCCCCATTAGCCCCTGATACCAACCACAATCAAAATGGCAGACGTTTGTGTCAACATTCTGAATGGGAATAATGAACAACTTGGCGCATTTTCTAGATGGCAGATTTGTTTCTTGGGATATGCTGGAATCTTTTGTGAACTATCTCTAGAAATTGCCTACAGAGAGCTGATCGTTTTGGGAATTTTCAGGCGATTTGTCTTATGAACTAAGACGTGGAGCAGATTTAATTAAAAACAGCATCTAAAAACAGTATTTCGCTAGTTCATTATAATGCTGAGGCACAGTGAATCTTTGTTGGCAAGGAGAGATAGGCAGATTCCCCGTATTGGACAAACAGGACTTCCTGGTTGACCCATACTCATGATTTCACACAAAAATCTGGAATTTATGTTGAAGCATCAATTCAGTGTGCCTCATATACCTAGAATCCTGGGAATTTCTGTGACCACTGTCAGAGGAAGAATGACTGACAGGTTTATTTGTAAGATTGTTTTGTTTGTGTATGTCTGATTTGGAGCTGGATGAAATTTTCTGGAGCATTCATCAAGACTACTCTACATGTGGTAACACTCAAATGAAAGGCTTACTCTTCTAATTAGAGGATATAGTGTACAGCAGTTTCGAATAATAGAGTTTTTAATCCTTTGGTGGACAGGGTTAATAATTACTTAATTAAATGCGTGGGCAGTAGTTTGCAATGTTGGGATAGCAGCTACATATAGTTGCTAGAATATGAATGTAGCAACCAAAATGACAGATGCATCTTGTCATGGCACAAAGGGACACTTAAAGGATTTGTACAGTTCCAAACCATTGTTCCACAAGTCACCCTTTAGCAATAATGTAGCTTACAAATTCTATCTAAAATATAAAGCAGCAATAATGAACAGTAATTACAAAATCGAACAATAGAGCATGTCCGGAAATGATAATGCACACAGTGGTCATAACCATTTTAATGATATTCATGACAAATAATTATATTCCTACCAAATTTAATGATATTCATTGATTAAAATTAATGTTACCTTAGTAATGAGTACAAAATAATGGCCAGCACCAGAAGCACAAATGAGAAAGGTGATGGTTTTTACAGAGAACTGAATGAAGAAATAAATTGTGAGCCTGAAGATGTAAATGATAGTGTGATGCTTGGTGAAGACAATGTCTTGGAAAGTTGTTCAAGTAGGTCAAGGGCACACTGAATGCGATGATGGCTAATCCCACTCAGCATTGTCCTGCTCAGCAATAAGTTATTTTTGGTAGGGAACTGTAATATATCTAGTTAAATCAGTGCCACAACTATAAATCTTTATTGTTGTTACAGGTTGTTTCATCAACCTCAGCCATCTAGAAGATATTATTATTATTGTAATTAACATTGTGTTAATGATTTGTCATAGTATTGATGTGTGTTTATGTGTACCATCTTGATTACTTTTATGTTCTAGTATTCTTTTTGTAGTTGTTCTAGGACGGTTATTATTAGTCTACTGTGGTTTTGTTATGTAAATTTTAGTTGCTATATGATGTGTGACCTTTTGTCAGTCTATTGTTCTATTGTCAGTCAGTCAGTTGTTAGTTAATCCTTTTTTTCTGTGATCTACAATGAAGCTATTTGCTTTTGAGTGAGCTAACTTGAACTCCGCAAAGCCGCTGTTTTACAACAGGTTATGAGTTAAATCAGTGGATCTTGCTAGTCAGTTCTGAACATTCCTTACGAAGTCTAGACAAATAGTTCATCTATAACCAAAGAGAAGTGGACCATAAATAAACTTGATGGTACTAACTGGAGTACTTGAAAGTTCGATAAGCTGCATATGTTGCTACTGAAGGGACTGTGGGGGATCGTTGACAAAACATGTCCTAGCTGATGATGCTGATGGTAAAGCACAAGCTGCTGACGCCACAAGGTCCTTCAAAGCTTTCTCTTACATTGCTATGGCAGTTGGTGCATCAGGGTTATACCTGATCACTTCTACTGAAGATCCACGGGCAGCTTGGGACGCCTTAAGAAGTCATTTCGATAGAGACACGCTCGCAAATAAGCTGTTCTTGAAGAAGCAGTATTTTTGAGCCAAACTGAAAGAAGGCACATCAATAGAAGCTCATCATAAGCAGATGAAAGAGATCACGGACTGACGGCAGCAATTGGTACTCCTATTTCTACTGAGGATCAGGTTGTTACGTTACTAGGGAGTCTTCCTAAGAGCTATTGAACACTAGTGACTGCACTAGAGGCTAGAGGGGATGACTTGACCTTATAATTTCTACAGCAAGCCTTGATCCAGGAGGAGCAAAAGAGGAAAGGTGCATTGCCAGAGGACAGCAGATCAACAGAACTGGTTGAAGGTTCTCACAGGACCAAATGCAAGACCCTGAAGTGTTTTAATTGTAAACAACCTGGGCATTTATTGAGACTGTCCAAAAGGCAAGCATCACCACGATGATTAAAGAAGTACGACTCATTCGACTGCTCCAGAACAGAAGACTGCTCACAAAGCAAAGGCAGTTTCTACCAGCATAAATTCTCATGAAGTACCATCGGAAGAGCTATTTGCAGCCCTAGCCCTAGATGGATCAACTATATATGCTGGACAATGGTTAATAGACTCAGGAACATCTAGTCACATGACTTACCAGAGAAACGTACTTGCTGATTACCATGAGTTAGAGCAACCTGAGAAGGTTGGACTAGGAATGGTCGAACTGTTGATGCTATTGGTGTTGGAAAGGTATACATTCAGGTGAGGAGCACCATTTCTAGTGAGAGAGAAATCATTTTGTATGGAAGATGTGCTACTAGTTCCTGAGCTAGCCTGTAATCTATTCTCAGTCAGGGCAGCTATTTCCCTTGGGCGAAGTTCAGCAAATCAAAGTGCTGGATTAGAAATCACAAGGGAAGACTGTGTGATCTTGGGACTCAGGAGTATAAACTCCACCACCTGGATTGTGCTACCTTGAAGTAGCATCATTGGCATCTATTGAAGTTCGTCAGATTGATTTATGGCATTAACGCTTGGGCCATCTCAACAGTCAATATATCAACAAGCTCATAGAGAAGGAAATGGTCACTGGAATGAAAGTTCCTAAATCTGAATATCTATCATTCTGTGAAGGATGTATTAATGGGGAAATTTGCAGAAGTCCATTCAAACCAGTGGGAGCTCTTTGTTCTCAGAGAAAGTTGGAGTTAGTGCACAGTGACGTTTGTGGTCCAATGTCTGTTGAGTCTTTTGGGGGCCACAAATACTTTGTCACGTTCATTGATGACTATTCTCATTGTTGTGCAGTGTACTTCCTTAAACAGAAGGCAGAAATATTCCAAAAATTTAAGGCGCTTGAAGCAGGTGCTATTAATTCAGCAGGGAATAGTATTGGAACACTGAAATCTGAAAATGGGGGTGAGTATTTGTCGACAGAATTTGCCAATCTTAAATCTAAGGGAATACGACATGAACTCTCTGTTCCTAACACCACAACAAAACGGGGCATCAGAAAGAATGAATTGTACCTTGATGGAGTCTGGACGATCGATGATGTCACATGCTGGACTACCAAACAGCTATTGGGCTGAAGCAGTAGCCACTGCATTTATAAGAAACAGATCACCCACTTCAGCACTCTCAGAAGATGTAACCCCTTATCAGAAGTGGTACGGTTGTAAACCAAGTCTGGAACATCTGAAGGTTTTTGGGTGTATACAGTACAAGGCAAAAAAAAGCTAAGTAG